ACGTAGTAGTAGTAAACGGAACGGTAACGGTAACGGTAGGTAGGTTAGGTTTAGGTTACGTAGTAAGTAAGTAACGACGACGACGTACGTACGTACGAGAGAGAGAGAGAGAGAGAGAGAGAGAGAGAGAGGTGTTCAGATAAGTTAAACTCGAATGGCAGCCGCAATATTCATCAATGTATTGGCATTGCTTGGCCATGGGTGCATCTTGCAGGTTTGTAATATATCATTGGCTCAATGAGTGATTTTTAAGTAGTTCTTTTACTTCAAAAGCATAGCTTTGATCCTTGCCTTTAAAGAATTTCACGAGTCCTAAATAATGAGGGGCCTTTGTGCTACTGTTGTGAATTGGTACAGTGGTACAATTACTTCTGTTTTTTTTTCAAATTCCAACAACTTTTTTGTTTTTTTAAAATTTCAATTACTTATACCTTTAAAATACTAGCGGGTTTGAGACATTTTATGTCAGAGGATATTTTGAATAAAATACTTTTAGATGTAATTCAAATGGTCTCTATTAGGGGTACAACAAGAAGCCATTGTTCTTCAAACAATTAAAGAAAAAAAGATTACATGTTCACCCCCTAAAGCAATGGTCAGGGGGTTCTTAACATGTGAAAATTCAAATAGTTCTTTACTCACTCGTTAAGAAATTTCATTTAAGAACTACTCTTGACCTCTTGAAACTCTGATATATCGTCTCGCAAATTGTATGACATTTTTTTTGATACACTCGTCAAAGAGCTATCTCCTAATTTATTTGAAAAAATGGGTAGGGACTTTTCTTTCCCATTGAATTACCCAAAAAAAAAAAAAAAAGATAAAAAAATGAAGATGATATGGAGCTTTTCTGATAAATGAAACCCACCCTAACCATGATGTCTTTTGAGAGGCTCAGCTGCGAGCTTGGCCCATGGCCAAAATGCAAAAATTTTAAAAACTCATCCACATTAATTATATTTGTTTTTTCCATTTAAAAATGGTTGTTTTCCAATATTTTGCTTTTATAACTAATCCAAAAGAAAACTATACTTTGCAATGGAATTACTGTCATAAAATATGCTACTAGTATCACTAAAATGGGGTTACAATGGACTCCAGGATTTCTCGAGAGGTTTTCTAGTGCTGTTATTTGTACATTCAACCCTAGTGTTGCTCATGAGTTAACCCCCAAAAGCATGAGTAGTTTTTTCTTTTTCTTTTTTTCATTTCTTTTCTCTTGGTGTCGGGTTAGCTTGTTTGAACCAATGTTTGAAAAGTCAGACTGGGGCTCCGGCTCGCTAAGGTCTTGTGCTTTGGTACCTTTAGTATAACTCGGGTGGGTTTGAGTGCAGCTAGGGAAATTTTATAAAAATTGGAAAATTATGAAAATACAAGAAACTCGGGTGATAATGGCGTTTTACAAATTGTGAAAATACAAGAGACTTGGGTGATTGTCGGGTTTTACAACTTGCATTTGCCTAGCTCTCGATCCGGTCCGACACAAGCATCTGAAGGGGAATTTTTCCAAAATCAGCTCTAAGAAATTTTCGACACCAGTGTCCTTCATGTGCTTGGGTATTGGATCTCTTACCAAATCCCTTCTGTAACATTGTATTAGTAAAATATTTATGGGAAAAGAAGTCAGATAGGAAAATAATTCTCTCTAGGTTCTACAAAAGCTGAAGCAAAACTATACATACTGTCAAACAACATTAGTCACTTGCATCAAAGCTAATTTGTTCTCCAATTGATAATGTGGGGTTAAGGTATGCAAATTTTTCATAAAGAATGGTTAGGACTTAGGCTTTGACTTGCCAGGGACCCGAGCCCAAGTCCCTTTGGTCTTATTCAGGTGAGTTTGACTCGTTTGAGTCTGACATGGGAATTTTTATAAGAAAGATAAAAAGTTTATAAAAAAATAAGAGACTCAGGCAATCCCAGGGTTTTTCGGCTTTCGGCTTAGAATCACCTGAGTAGGATATCAATCCGATCCTACTCATGTGTCCAAGTGAGACTGATGACTTTTTATATACACGTTTGATTTAGTAACTGCTTTTTAATTTTTCAACACCAATGTCATGCTTTTTTTTTGTGGAGGTCTGATTGGTTGTGGTCTCAATGTCTGCAACACGTCCTGATTGCTTGAAATCTCTACTCATGAATGAGCAACAAGTCTCCCTACCCCTCTCTTGTATTAACAGAACTGAGGCCCTCAAAAAGAAAAGAACATATGTATGCATGAAGGATACTCATGTCCATGGTGTTTTGCAGTTGTTCGAGACACGAAGGATTCACATCCTGCACTTTAGGAACATAAACACTTCTTAAACTTTATTCGTGAAATGTCACAATTAAAGTACTAAGTGTTACTTAAACTCCTATCTCCCTTTCTTCATAATGGTTTTCAAATGTGTTATGTCCGAAAGACTAGTTTTGAGATTTTTATTTTGGCAGTCGTATCAAATGCTAACATGCACATCCGTGTCTATGCAACCCAAGGACACAATTATATAGTTGAGGCAAAACACACTGAGTGAAATGATCATATAACCAGATAAAGTTCACAGTTCTACCTGATTTTGTGAGTACCTCCCAAGTGTGAGATTCTCAATTCTATGAGTGTCATTAGGCCTACCACAAAATGTGTATGCTTTGACATGCTTTCAGTGTGATTGGCTCTCCCATGTGGGAAACTTTTACGTGACATGGATTGAGTGTGTCACTGTGGGAAACTTATACATAAATGGTTTGCTTAAACTTACTCTTTATTTGAACCTGCACATTTCAAACTTAGAGTTCAAGATGCATTTCAACTTGCATTATTGGAAGGGTTATTCCAAACAGTTCCTCATTATAGTTTAGAACATTGGAGGGGATTGAAGGTACCAATTGTAGCTATTTGAATTGTTTTCTATAACATAAATTCTATCATTATAAGTACATGTTTTGTAGTTTAGTTTCTCCTAGCAAAAAATAAAAATATTTTTATTCTATAGAAGGGTTTTAATTAGTACCTTAGATCCATCAAAACAAATTGGTTAAGCAAAATCATGGGTTTTAATTAGTAACTTAGATCCATCAAAACAAATTGGTTTAGCAAAATCATTGGTTAAGCAAAATCGTAGTGTTGAATGGGTAATTTGAGGGGCAATTAAGTTCCATTATGCTATTACAAAATTTTTAGATGGAATACTTCTTTACTTTATCAATACATACATCACAAATTGACTCTTTATTCTTTATAACTTTTGTTTCTTGTTCAGTTCATCTAAACTATTTAAAATTTTATTGGTCCATCAATATTGACTCTTTATAATTTTTATTTCTTGTTCAGTCCATCCAAACTATTGTAAATTTTATTCTTTTATTGGTCCAACAATTCATTATTGAGGCCAATGTTATTCTTGACTAATTGTGGAGGAATTATTCAATCACTATTAAGGCCTTACTTTTTATTGTTAAGCGATGTATTTCCCAGATGTGGCTTATAATTTTTATTTTTATTTTTGTTTATTTTTCAAATAGAAAATAAATATGCCCCATTTTTAGATGTTACGTTGATTTTGCTAATAGAAAATAAAATATTGCTTTATTGGGTATTTTATTTTGTTGATTATTGAGATAGATGATGATTTATGTAATCATTTATAGGTTTTGAGAAATAGGTGATAGTGGGTGAGTGATTGAAATTTTGACAGTAAATATTTTCCTTGTTATTATATGTTCTTTATTGAAATGGGCTAAGTATATTTCATAGTGTATATTTATCTAAAAAATAGATTGGTTAAAGACAAAAAGGTAAAAAAACGAGGAGTGTTTACAGAATTTCACCCTAATTGGAATTAAATTTTGGCCATTTAGGGTACTCCAAAAACTTGACCTTGACGCAGTTCTTATTGACATATTTTGTCTCACAGCTAATTTCAATAGCAACTCTCGTGTTTAAAAAATTTCATTGATCCCAACTCTCCAATTGCATTCTTTCACTTTCTCCGTGTTTTCTAGTTTATTTTTTTTCGTTTTTTTATATTTTATTCTCTCCCTTTCCCATTTTTGCAACTATTGCTGATATTTTATATTATAGGAAATGAATTTCTAAAAATTCAGGCTCTATTAGACTGAAATTCACATCTCAAAGGGCTCCGGTTTTTTACTGGCAGGCATTAAAGCCAAATATTTTTTTGGAACGTTGAATTTTTTTGAGAATATTCACTTGCAACAATTTATACCAACAGCACTACCATAAAAATGTTAGGGCATATGTTATTTGAAAATTGTCCGGTAAGAGGTACCACTGCAACTATAAAATACAGTACGAGGATACACAAAGCAGAAAAGTCCCATATCATCTTGAATTTATCACTTATATCATACTGTTCCTGATTTGCAGTTTTATCACTTATCTAGATAGGATTGAACACCAATTGAGAGGGAGGAGGGGTGGCAATGGACCAAGACCCGGCCCGTAACCCAACAGGTTGAACCAATGGGTAAAAAAATTGGATCCGATGGATTGGGTCCGTTCTAAATCTTGGATCCCGAAGTCCAGGTCGTGTACTTCAACCTGAATATTGATATTTAAATAATATTTAGTAATTTATGAAAGGCTGGGTCGGCACGAAATCGCCCTGATGTTTAGAAGGAACTGGCGGTTCCGCACAATAAAACAATGATTCTCAATAGTAAAACGGCGATCCAAAACACTAATTCACTAATCCGAATAGGTTTTTGGCTTGTTCATTGTTTTTTCGCAGAGTGAAATGGTGATTCGAACCGTCGATTCACCGATCCGGACTAGTTTTTAGGATACCCGATCTAGGTCACCGATCTATTTTTTAAATCACTAATATTTAATATATGAATTTAAATAATATTTAAATAAATCTAACTATATATTTTTAATTATAATATTTAAATAATGCATGTGTATATTTAATGAATTTATGAAATATATTTAAATATATAAATATTTTGATTTTTTGATAAGATCCAAGTCTAGGTCCCCTATTATATTTTCAGGCCCAAGTCTGCATCTAGGTTCCAATATATTTTGGAACTAGACCCGACCCATATTTTGAGTCTGGGTCCTTGATATTCTGGAACCGGACCCGACCAAGTTAGAGAGAGATGGTGACATGGTAAAGGATATTCTAAGGAATGGTGGAAAAAATCCAATAGAATAGAAGTAGAAGGATATTCGGAGGAATGGTGGAAGAAACCCAATAGAATAGAAGCAAAAGGATAAGGAAATAGAGTATGAAAAAACGGCTTTC